CCACTGCACGCGCACACTTCTCAATCACCTTTACTGCATGATCCACCGAACCTCATTTTAGAGAGAGAATCTAGAGAGAGAGAGCGCCATAGTTGCATTGCAGAGCTGTTGAACAGACATGGAGGCTGCCTACTTCAATGATTCTCAACGTCAGGCAACAAAGGATGATGGTGTTATTGCTGGACTCAACAACCTACTGCCGCTGCCAGGCGTCCATACACGATTGCTCCTTTTTCGAGCTTGTAAGGCTCTAATGGGCCAATTGGGTGAACAGGTGGGAGGTTACTTAAGACTCTGCCATTGTTGAGTGCAGCGAGTGTGTCGGGTTCGAATCGCTCAAAGGTGTTTACCAAAATACCTTTCGCTTTCGGTAGAAACAGAGCGTTCGATATTGCAAACGACGTGAAGAACAGAGTTGGATTGAAGAATGGTGGAGGAATAGTTGACAGAGGCAGTGGGGATAAACCTGGGATGTGCACATAGTCATCGGATTCACCGAATTTCGGAGAGTTTTCATTGATCAAGTAAGGAAGGTAAGCCAGGAGAGAGAGAAATCTAGCGCAGGTAACGGAGAGAACGTAATTGGGTATGCAGAGTTCCTCAAGAATAGGAGTGAGAGTCATGGAAACAGTGAAATCAGAGAAGATAGCAGAGAGAGGTGGAGAGGAAGATAACAAGAGAGGCTTGAGAAGGTGAACAACAGAGCGACTAATGGCTTCGAATTGAATGAAGAAAGGGTCGTCATTTGTAGAACTGGGGGGCTTACGGGGAAGGATTTCAAAATCGAGACGATTGATATGTGGGTAGGTGGAGAAGAAGTTAGAGAGATCCAAAACACCTTTCCCACCTCCAAAACCCATGCTTCAGCCTTCATCGGCTCTATACCCCCAGAGAACCTCGGTGGTCTCATCTTCTTGAACTCCCTGATCAAAGCTATCGTGCCATCCCCATACAAGGCTGGTTGCGGGGGAACTTGCGGCACTGGCGGAGGCGGAGCTACATTCCGACCGTTGGTCTGCTCGGCCTGAGTCGACGTAGCACTCGCGAACTGCTGCCTGGTTTGCCTCAACTCGCGGGCCAAACCTTCAACTAACCTTTCCAATCTGTCCATTCTGTCTTCGGGCTGATCTCGGCCAAGCGGCGGTCTACCTCTCCTCATGATGCTATGAGTATGCAAGATATGACTTTAAACAATTAAGCAAATAACCACATAGGCGATAGCAAATAAGTATATCAAGACAATGCACGCTTCACTCAAACAACAAATACCATGATGCAACTCTAACATCTTTCTAAGGGAAATCCTATGCTCTTCAGGACTCAAGTGTGTGAATAGCGTACACCGAGGAACTTGTGCTCTGATACCATTCTGTCACGACCCCAAACCGCCCCTAGTAGTTTGGTGCCGTGATGGCCAGTAATCAGTAATTACCGAAGGCCAACTTTTCAAATTTAACACAATCAGAGTATGGATATAGGGGGCTCACAAATGCGGAAGCAATAAATCAATTACAAGTGGTCCATAAGAGCTGTGCGTAGATCAAAGCAATGCCAAACATTCCAATTAACTTTACAACTTGAATACAATAAGGTAAAATACATGTTACATCTTGATCAAAAGGCTTCTCGAGCCGACATATACAAAATACAGCTAATACAAGTCAAGAAGCATGATTTTCAAGATTTGCCGACATGCAAAGCAGGGCATCGCCGACGTAAATACAAAAGCAAAGCCGACATAAGTACGAATCCAAACAAGCATCCAAAACGATCTAGGCGTCGCCGCCGTCCTACTCATTACCTACATATATATAGGGGGTGAGTACAAATACTCAGTGAATGGTACTAATAATAAAGGTTTTGCATGAATACAGCCGAGGTCCTTCAAAACGAACACATCAAACTTTAGCAAGACGAGGGATGAACCGTATTCATCAATCAAATATTACAAGTATCCAAAGATGTTTACTGACATAGGCAAAACAAGGGATGAACCGTATTCATCATTCAAGTACTGTACGATCCGTAATCGTTTGGTCAAAAGTATTGCGAAAGTTTAGAGTCCTCCAATTACAAGGGACTTGTGCACTTGGTACCGCGAAAGTTTTGAGTCCTCCAGTACAAGGGACTTGTGTTACTTAGGCCCGTAGCCCGATTTAACAAGGACCGTATCCTTTTACACATAGTACTGCGAAAGTTTAGAGTCCTCCAGCACAAGGGACTTGTGTTACTTAGGCCCGTAGCCCGATTTAACAAGGACCGTATCCTTTACACATAGTACTGCGAAAGTTTAGAGTCCTCCAGCACAAGGGACTTTCCGAGGTTAACAATCAAACAAGGCCATTTATTCATGCTTAGCAAATACCACGTCAAAACAAACAAAACAAGATTTATCAAGAGCAAGTGTAACATAGCTTTATTAGAAATACCACTCACCTAGTTCTTCAGGTGTAGACTCAAAGCAAATATCAAGGACCTACAATCACATGGCAAGTCACATTCTCAAAGTGAGCTCTATGTACATGCAAATGATCTCGGCATTCTTGCCGGATCCAAGTCAAAGACAAGGCAAAACAAGCTGGAAGCTTAATCACTGCTCCCGTTACTCGAAAACACACTGGGTACCGTCCGGGACTAAGCCGAGGTCCCGTTAAACAAGGTCAGGAAAAACCTGGGTTTTCCTTTGAAGAATATGAAGAACATGATCATTTGGAAGATGGATGCAAGCTCACAACTTGTTACAAAAATCTGAGTTTTCATGCCAAGAGTTCAAAATATATGGGCTTGGGTACCCATTAAAGAGAGTCATGCAAGAACAAACACAAAACATGGTTTTCGTTCCAAACTTTTCGATCAAAATGAGACTTTCTTCAAGAACACATGGAAAACCTTTTTCTCTTTCCAAAACTAACTTCAAAACGATGCATGATATGCAACACAAATCCGATCATGCCATGCAGCTAGATAATCCATAACAACATTCAAAGTAGATCAAGAATCTTACCCCAAATCTTGAATCCAACGGTTCAAGCCACGAAGATCAAGCTTGGAAGACTACTCCCACTCAAGAACTCTTCTTCCTCCTCTCTAGAGCTTCTCTCTCTAAAACAAAGATTTGAGACAAGAGAAAATGATTTGTTTCAGGGTCTGCCGGCTGTCTTGACAATCAGCTCGGACACGTGGCGTTATCGGGTTGGTTCAGCTCCAAAAAGGTGATTGATAGACAAGACAAGTCTCTGACAAAGCTTATGCAGCAAGCTCGGGTAAGACACATCGGCAACAAGATGACATCGGCTCAAATCAAGGATCCAGCAACAGGATAGAAAAACATCGGCTAAGGAGGACGACACTTGACTAAGCTGTGCCACACCTTGGCCGGGGTGTGCCACATCTCGGCCTAGGCCATACCTGCCCAAGGACAAGGTTCACTAAGTGCGAAGCATCTCGGCAATGAATGCCCGAGGTGAAGATGGGTTGAACAAGATCTCAAAACAAGTCTAAGTACAAGGTTCAAAGGCGGACTAAGCTCAAGATGACCTCGGCTACGCACACACCGAACAAGGGACAAGATCACGCAAGTAATACTAACAAAACAAGGCAAACAACTCCTTCCAATTAACATAATAAAGCAAGATCATGCAAGAATGTATGCAAGTATGACAAGAGTAAGGTGAGGGTTGTTACAATCTACCACTATCATATTATATACATGCCACTATCTGCCACCAACACCACTATCATATTATATACATGCCACTATCTTATTATATACATTACTCTTCCTTTTCCCACGTGGCTTCTGTGCCATAATGCTCCTTCCATTCGACCTTTACCATCGGTATCGATCTGTTCCTCAATTGTCTCACCTGTCGGTCAATAATCCCCATTGGCTTCTCCTCGTAGCCCAAATCTTCATTAACTGTGATCTCGGAATGATCAATACACCACTATCATATTCTTTACATGCCACTATCTACCACCAACACCACTATCATATTCTTTACATGCCACTATCTACCACCAACACCACTATCATATTCTTTACATGCCACTATCTACCACCAACACCACTATCATATTCTTTACATGCCACTATCTACCACCAACACCACTATCATATTCTTTACATGCCACTATCTACCACCAACACCACTATCATATTCTATACATGCCACTATCCTTCACCAACACCACTATCATATTATATACATGCCACTATCTGCCACCAACACCACTATCATATTCTATACATGCCACTATCTGCCACCAACACCACTATCATATTATATATACATGCCACTATCTTATTATATATATTAACACAAATTTCCAGCACTAGGGTTGAGCAAGGAATCCGTAATCCGATCCAGTCCAGTCCAATCCGGTAGGTTTGGATTGGTTTTTTGAATCTGTGGTTCGGTTCCGGATTGAAGAATTAAAAATCCGTAGTCCACGGATTGGTTCCGGATTGAACCCCACGGTTCCGGATTGGAACCGATCCGGACCGTATACAAATAGTCTATATTTTTATTATACATCCTCCTCCATAGTATTTTCTCTTATTCCATATAAAAGCTAAATTCAAACCTAAACCCGCATAATATTGTTTTTTATTACTTTTTTTTATTAGTTTTTAGTTTTAATTTGTAATGATCTAAATACTTATGGTGAAACCAGTTTTCTTATGGTTGTTTAAATTCTAGAACACTATGTCGCTATTATAGAAAGACATGTTACTATTGTGGAACAAATATAGCGCTATGTTTATATTTTTATGAAATTAAAGTGTTATATATATATTTTTTGTTATTTAATTATTGAATCCGTGGTCCTAAACCTATCCAATCTGTATTTAAATGGATTGGTTCGGATTGGTTCCATGATTTAAACGAATTGGATTGGTTCCAATTTTTCAGAAATCATAAATAACGGATTGGTCCTGATTTTATCCCAATCCGGTCCAATCCGGACCATGCTCACCCCTAGCACTAACCTAATCCCTGTAGAAGCCTAGTTTCAATGGACTTGTGTTCAATGCTCATCTTGGACTCCTAGCTAGATAGAGATAAACTTTCCAAGAGCTTTATCTTTATCCAGACTGAGGTCCTCTCTATTCTAGGACTCTTGTCCCTTATCCGTTCATCTCGGGTTCTGATATCTCCGCAGATAACCTCGGCCTAGCCAAGATCACCTCGTTATCATGACTAACCCACGTGACACTCTGGCTGACATGTCGGCGTCACCTCGGCCACGTGCTGTTATTCACAAAATATGCCCCCACATTAGCAATTACCAGTGATTTACATCCATTAATGAACCACAATGAAATAATTTTGGGTAAACTATGCTTTTAACTCCTACAATTTGATCCAAACTTTACTTTGTCCCTATATTATTTCAAATTGAATAGTTTGGTCTCTACACTTCAAATTTAGTTTTATTTTTGTCTTTTCATTCAAGTTGAAAGTTAAAATTAATGATTTTGGAACACTTGTCAATCTCTTGAGTGTAAATGTAGAAAAGATTAATAAAAATTTGAATGGAATAATCAAATTGAAATTGAACTTAAAGTATAGGGATCAAAGTGAAATTTAGTTCACATTATAGGGGTTAAAAGTGTAATTTACACAATAATTTTTTACCAAATGAAGGGGTTTTAAATCAAAATTTTCAAATCCCAAATAGTTCTAAACTTAGTTTTCAAACTTGGGTGTTTGATGAAATCTTATTTTCAAAACACGATTTGTAGTGTTGAAGTTCAAATTTGAAGTCATGTTTATTTGAAAACAAAACACTGCTTGATGGAATAACTTGACTTTGAAAACTAAATTTAAAATTGTTAGAATTTAGAAGCAACTAC